GCCCTTGGCCGGCACCTCCTGCTCGTCGCGGCTGGAGAGCGGCCGAGTCACAGAAACCCATGGGAGCAAGCGGAGTTAACTGGGAGATGTGCTGTGCCGGTGACCAGCAGCCACAGGGGTGGGTGACCCGCACCTGGATCCTGGCTGCCCTGCTCCCAGCCCTGCAGCACCCCTGCTCCCATCCTGGGGCCGAACGCGCCACGTTGTCCAGCCCATTCACCAGAGCACAGCAGGGCTGGCAAAGCCTTGTCTAAGCCATGGTATTTCGGACTCTGGGGGTCTCTCGGCTGCAGCCATAATGCAGCCGCCCATGAGGGGTGCATGGCACATGGCAGCGAGGAACATCCCCGAGGGGCTCCCACCCCCTCACTCCCTTCTCCAGGGCATGGTGATGCAGTGATTGAAGCCAGTGTTAGGGCAACCATGGGGTCAGGATCCCCGAGTGCCTGGCGAGGAGCAGGAAATATAACTAACCCATCCCACCGGGACAAACGCCGCGGCCGCAGCTCAGCTGCACTGGGCAGGAACCAGGAGGAGGCTGGAAAAGTGGCTGTCGCGGGCAGATGGCACGGGGCAGAGCTATCCACTGAGCTCTCAGAAACGCCCTCAAAAGGTTTGCACTGTTTTCTCCAGCCTCCCCGAGCCCAGCTCTGTTTGAGCGTGAGACAGGATCTGTGCCGTGCCCCAGTCCTCAGCAGCCCACGTTCATAAGTGCATATCTGTTCCTCTAGCGAGCGGGGACGGCAGGGCCTGGTGGGAGATCTGGGTGAGCAGGAAGATGAAAGGAGAGGTGATCATGTGGGAGGCAAAGAAACGGAAAGGCTGGCTAGTTGGAAAGCAGCCAGACCTAGAAACCTGGGACTACGGACTGCCACAAGCTTCCAGCACGGCATCTCTGCCCGCAAAGCCCAAACATGGCATTAAGCAGGAGCCCATGCCTGTCCAACCAAACTTAAAATGCTGATCTGCTCTCTGGCAGCTGCAGTTTGGGCAGCTGGCCCTCTCCCACATAAAGCCCAGGCAGGAGTAACACGTGCTGGGGACCGCTCCCCAAAACCAGCTTGAATTCGGTCACCCTGTTTTTCGGGGAAAAAAAAATCCATCCCTGTGTGTTAATTGATCCATGCAGCACGCGCTGGTCTGTTTTGTTTACTAGTATAGTCACAGACAGTGTGGATGAAGGTGCTGCTGCTCACAGTGTATCCTCAGAAACATAGGAGGGCTGGAGACGAGAGTGCAATCTCCCCCACCGGCCCTGGGGGGCAGCTCTTGACACGGGTGCCTGGTGCAGATGCCCACTGCTCTTCAGCTCAGGTGGCTGCCGCTGCCTGCCTGCCCTCACAGCAGGCAGGGGTCTCGCCTGCTTCCCTGCCCCAGCTGGGAGGATGCCCTTGTGTCACGCAAGAGCTCCCCGGGGGCTCTGGGGGAGGAAGAGGAAGGCCCTCTGCAAGCTGACCCCATGTGACAACTGCCCTGTAAGGGAGGACAGAAGGGTGACAGCCTGGTCCCCTTGCACCTACCTCAGCTGTTTGGGTTTCCTCCAGCTCTCCACACTCCTCCTTTACTCCTTCAGTTGGCTGCTCTCAGTTATGGGCTGTCCTGCTCATCTTTCTCCATTTATCCTGGCCCACACCAAACTGGCAGCTCATGAGTTTCTTAAACTTGTTTGTATCTTTGCTTTTTTAAACTCTGCAAGGGTAATTAATTAAGACATTTGAAATTCTGGGGAGTCTCGGTCTAGAGATCTTCCCCAGCACAGAGAGTCCATCTCAGACAGCAGCTCTTTTCCCAGGGATGGGCTGACTGCAACGGGAAGAGCCTCCTGCATGCTCCAAGTTCCCTTCCAAGCAACATCACTGATTTGGACCTCTCCTTCAACTCCTTGGTTGTGCCCCGTCATGGGACTCTCTTGATGGATTTCCCTTCCCTGCGCTCCCTCAACCTCTCTAGCAATGCCCTGCTGGTGCTGAGCCCAGCAGTCTTCTCCAACCTGGGGGCACTGCGTCTGCTGGACCTGAGCAGCTGCAGCATCGCCTACCTCCACACGGACGCTTTCAAGGGCTTGGGCAACTTGCACACACTGCTCCTAAGAAACAACAGTCTGCAAGAGCTTGAGGTCCCTTTCTTCCTGCCGCTGAAGGCTCTTTTATACCTGGACCTGCAGCACAACGCGCTGGTCTCTGTGGACACCTTGAGCTTGCAGCTGATGGAGGCAGTCCCGCAGGTCCGGCTGGAAGGGAACCCCTGGGTCTGCGACTGCAGCGCGCGCTCTCTGCAGCAGTGGCTGCAGCGCAGGCAAGGTGAGTGGATGGGGGCGGGTGGCAGGAGAGATGTTGGGCAGGAGGAACCCTGGGTGCAGGGGTCCCGCTGGATCCTTTTGCTCCAACCCCTGGGCATATTCTGAGATAACTTTCCAGGGACCTCTCCCACCTCTGTTGAGGGACAAGTGAACAAAAAGGTGATGGGTTTGTTCCTTGCTTGCAGTTACACGCAATACCAGAGATTTCTAGGCATGACAGCAGGATAATTTAGCCACTCTTCTGTTAAAGGGGCTGCATGTACACTTCAGCCCCTAAATCCACCTATATGTGTCTATGTGGAGTGACCACATTTTCAAGAGCACTCAGCACTCCTCCTGTGGAGCTGAATCAAGGTCCAATCCTCAGAGCTCAGCTCTCAGGCGAGAGCAGCCCTGCGACAGTAGGGTTTCTATCAGTATCCATGAATTTGGCATTATCCAGTTAAAAGGAGCCTGCTGATCAGTCACACACTCACACGGTTCCTTGGTCAGTGAATTTTTTCTTTAGTTGTGCCTTGCAGCATGCTGAGGGCCAGTGAGGCTGGAGGGCAGAGCCAGGACAACCTTGCGATACGTCCCATCAACCCAGGAGCAAGCAGGGATTGTCTTCTCTAAACTGGGGAGGGGACGGGCAAAGACCCCCCATCCCACCTTAGCCCGTGTGTATCCCAGCTGTGCAGGTGACCTGTGCATCGCCCCCGGAGCTTCGGGGCAGTGCGGTGGCAGCTCTGGATTCCCAGGACCTGGGCTGCTGGATGAAGCAGCGGTTTCCTCGGGGGGTCAGCACTGCGCAGCAGATCACAGTGACCCTCAGCAACAGTAAGTTGTGCAGTTACTGAGGTGTTTGTAAGGTCTAGCTCCCTCCCACCCTCCATCACCCCAGAGGGGACCACAGGCAGAGACCCTGCCCTGCACCCCCAGGGGTTCAGGCTGCCTGACCGCTGCTCGTGCAGTGGCTTGGTTGGGAGGGTGGCCTCCAGTGGTGGCTTGGTGGGGAGGGTGGCCACCGCCTGGAGGTGTTTGCTGGCTTTGCAACAGAAAAGTTAGTAGATGGCATGAAGCCACATGGACTCCACAGACTCCACGGTGATGGGCAGCAGTATCAGACCGCCATCTGGCAGTTTTCCCCGCAGTATTCCCACACCCTTGGTAGCTACCTCCTGGTGAAGAGCATTTATATTGCTCCGAACGAAAGCAATTCAGTGAGGGCTGCACACCCCAGGCGTGCATGGGGCTGGGTGCTGAGGAGCACCAGGTATGCTGCAGGCTGACCTGCCGTGCCCTGACGTGCCTTTCCTGTGCCACAGCCACCACACCGCCCGCTGGGAAGGGGGGAAGGAGCTGGCCGTACCTGGTGGGCTTCCTGGTGGCAGCAATCGGTATCTCCATCCTGATTGCGCTGGCTGCCAAGTGCAAGCTCTTCCACAAGAACTTCGCCAGCTACCGCCACCGGCCGCTGCCTGAAACCAGCTCAATCGGAGGCAGCCCCATGGAGGACAGCAGCAGCTGGGACAGGGACTCCTCAGGCCAGGGGGCCAGCAAGAACCACCCCATGCCCGATGCTGGCCACCTGCAAGCTGAGGATGATGATGGCTTCATCGAGGACAACTACATCCAGCCAAGCGAGCAGCTGCCGGAGGAAGAGGAGCGGGAGCTGCACCTCTCCATCTGAGCCTGCAGCCCAGCCACCACCGCTGCGGCCCCTCGCTGTCCCCCCCCCCTTCCTGCCCTTTTCCACCTGCCCTCGGCTTTTGGCCCCCCGTGGGTGGGAGCTTAAGGAGCAGAGAGGACGGGAGAGAAGGGGTAGGTTGGGAATGGTGATGAGGGCTGAAGGCAGCCAGCCTCGCAGTACCCAAGTGTGACTCCAGTGGAGCTGCACCAGCACAGAGACACCAGACCCGCTGCTGGGCTCCCAGCCTTGCTCAGATGCTGAGGATGAAGGAGATGGTGTCTATCATGTCCGGGCAGCCTGGTGGGGTGGGAAGAGGAGCCTGCCCTGGTGCTCCCTGCAAGGTCTCGTGCACCGGCCCTGCTGCCCCACGGTGCTGGACGCAGCCCTGCTCTGTCCCCCAATGTGTTGTCACTCCAGGGTGTGATTAAAGCATGATTTAACCCTGCCTCTGCCTGCGATGGTTTGTCGGGGCTCTCCCAGTGGCAGTGCCAGGAGGACACCCGCAGGCCCACAGCTGGGGTGCGGCTTTTTTTGCATGTGCTTTCAAGGACCATAAACACATTCCTCCTTAACTGCAGCGAGAGAGGACAGGTCTGTGGTACGAGTGCTCCTGTGCAAACAAATCTGTCGCCTGCTGTGGCGCAGGCAGCCCTGGTGTGTCCTCGCGGGGTTTCTGTGCAGGTCTCTCCGGCGTTGCTTCCTGCCGCGCGTCTCTGCTCTCTTTTCTCTCTTCCTTCTCCAGCAAGACGTGCTAGAACGGCACTTAATTTTCCCATGTCAGCTCTGAGGAGCTGAGCAAACTTGTTGGCAGCACTGGTCATGGCATCAGGCACACACGTGCGCTGGAGCGAGACAGCCCTGTCCCCCGGCACCCATTACAGAGTCCTGTCTGTATCTCTAACTGTGGAGTTACACGAACGCTCTAATTTTTGCATTCCTGTCATCTTTGTGGTACAATAAACAGCACATGAGACATAGGTAACAGCAAATTGTTTCTGCTGTAGCCGGTTGTGCCCGTGTGGGTCACGTGGGAGTTAAAAGCGGGGCGCAGCAGTGACATTCACCCTCCTTAGTAAGTGATTCACAAGGCTGGTACCATCCGGCTGGGAAGAGTTCCCAGGGCACAGCCAGGTCGTTACAGTCCCTAACAGCCCGGGAATCTCTCCGTCATGCTGCAGAGCATGAAGCATCATCCCAGGGATAGCATTTCTTGCAGCCCTGCCACCCGGCTAATTCCCCCATCTCCTTCAAACCTCCCTTTCGCTGTGAACTGCCTTTCTATTTCTCTACTCATTAAGATATTTATAGAGCACAGTGTATACCAAAGTAAATAATATACCTCAGAGAATGTAAACCAAAGGGGATGACTGGGTCAGGCGCTGGATAGGCAATACAGGCCAGTGACTTAAAGCACCCTCCAGAGAGGAAAGGTGCCATTTGAAGCCATGAGGAGGAGGAGGAGAGCCTGCTGGCTTGTTTCAGTGGTCAGCCAGTTTTCGCTCTTAAATGCCATATGTCTAAACTGAGCTTCATTTTTGCAGGAAATTTCTAATCTCTTTCAGGTAAGACAGGAAACTTAAACCTGAGGGCTGGGAAAATGTATTTCAATTCTCTTTTGGAGGGTATTTTCTGAGCTTTTCAACATGCTTTTCAATCACATGAACTCGTGCTAGATGCAGTATTTTACTTTTGGTCTCAGAGATGTCTTAAAAGGGATTAAAAATATAACTGCCTGAGCTTATTTATCCAGGATCTGGCTCACTCTCATGCCTCAGTGCCTAGTGGTAGGTTGCTTGTGTCTACTTTGACCCTGCTGGGAGGCCCACCCGTTTATTCTTTAACCGAGCAGACATGGTGTGCAGGGGGGCTCGGTCCCAGGGCAGCCCCTCTGCCCCCTCTCCAGGCAGCTCCAGTAGAAGCGGGCAGGATCCTGGCAGCTCGCGTGGGGGGAAATGCATCGGCATGCGGACTGGGAGTGCAAGGGGGTCAGAGTAGCAAAGGAAGAGCTTTCTCAAGGGGGTTCCCCTAGGAAGCTGCCGGAAGGACCGTGGTAGAAGCTGGTGGCCGGGAGCAGTGGCAGGTATGCGGGCAGACTGGTTCCAGGCTCATTGCAGGCAACAGCTGCCTCCGCCGGGCTGGAGGCTCGGCCCTACCGCAGGGTGAAATAGCTTCTCTGTAAACAAACCAGCCGGCACCGACACATTCAGGAGGCTTTGCGTGCTCCACGTGAGCATCTTTCAGGGGCACGGCAAGGTCTTGGGTTCACAGAGCGGTGGTGAGGGGGACCGGCTATGTCTAGGTCCTTAAGCAGAGAGAGATGCGTACACATCTGGAGGTGGGAGTCGTGTATCAGGAAATAAATACATGCATTTGTGGGGCTGTGGTGGCATTGCCACACTAGCTAATGAGCCGAAACTACAGCCGCAGGAGGGACACTGGGCTGTCATGATTTTTGCCCCGGGCTCAGCCTGAGCGGAGGACAGCTCTGCACAGCTCTGTCACCTCGCGGTCCGCAGAGAGGGTGAAACTCGAGCATCAGCCTTCCACACGGTCAACTTCTGTAACACTTTATTGGGTATTTCCACACACAACACAGGAATCAAGAAAGGAACAAACCAGTACCGCTGCTGCAGAGGGGAGTCAGTGACTGGGGCAGCCAGACACCTAAACCGCCATCTTCGGGGATAGCCTGTTCCCAGCCATTATTTCCTCGGGCTGCTGACACGGCCCACGAGCATCCTTCTCTGGCACAATTCATGGGCACTTGGGGCACCTTTTGAAGGGGCTCTGGAGCAGAGGATTCACACCGGCATGCAGGCAGGGCAGAGCCGCAAGCTGGGCACAGTCACACATCTTCACACAAGTGCCCAGATGTGCAAAACAGCTGGTGTGCAGGCAGCTGCAGCCTGTCCACGCCTGCAGGTTGGGGGAACTGGGAGTAAGTGCTAAAGCACTGATGCAGGCAGAGGCGGCGCAGCTTGGCATGACTGCACATGCACCGACACAGACGTGCAGAGCAGCAGCAACGGCGATGGTGCAAAACTGTCCAGCTCTGGCCTGTCTCTCCCTGTGTCCACGGAGGGACCTGGGATCAAACAGCCTGGAGAGGAAGGACAGCTCTTTGCTTTGCAGAGGATTTAGCACAGAAGGACCTGAACTTAGTAACACCCTCTGAACTCTTGGGCAGATTAAGGGAAGCAATGCAGAGAGAGGAGGAAATAGCAGTTTAATAAAATCTACAGATGATGTGAAAATGGCAGAGAAAAATGTAGAAATAACAGACATCCAGAAAGAAAAGCCAAAACGCTGTTCCCATACTTTGGGGAAAACAATCTGAGGCTTTGGGGGAAGGAAAGCCAGCAGGAGCAGGGCAAGAGTGGATGAATACAGAAGTGCTCTCAAGTGACCTGAGTGCATTGGAGACAGTGTGGTCTGGAGTTGTGAAGGGATGACGTCCTCATTGCCCAGTGTATACCTGGTGGGGTTCACTGATGCTGAACTCTGACATTGCCTCCAGGTGTTGCACGGACAGCAGTTCGTGCTGTTACTAAGGGAATGAGCTACTGTCCTCTTCCAAATAAATTTGCTACCAGGGACCAAAAAATAATAGCTCAGTCTTGTTCCCTTACAGAGGGAACTTAGCAAATAATGAGCAAAACTAACAGCTGGGGCAGAGCAGCTCAGGTGAGGGGGAGATGGGAGCAGACAGGAAGATGAAGAGGAAGAGAAGGTTGCGCAGGAGCAGCTTTGCTAGGAGGTTAGGATCTGTGTCTATGGAAAGGGCAGTGAAATGGTTCGTGGGTCTATGGAGGAAATGAGAATTTTCACAGGTAAATTAGCCTCAAGCCACAGGAAAATCCCCCAGGGATGAGGTGTTAGTCTGCCTCTGGTAAAGACATCTTGGTGACAGACACCTTGGAGAAATAAAATACCAAAAAATCTCCAGGTAAGGTCCAAGTGATAGCAGAAGAACTTTTCTGCCCTGCAGCAGCTGCAGCACTTGGGAGACAGAAAGAGTGAGGCAACATTGCTGGGCTGGGCAGGCTCCCAGCAGGGACTTGGATGAGCGGGTCCAAGTGATAGCAGAAGAACTTTTCTGCCCTGCAGCAGCTGCAGCACTTGGGAGACAAAAAGAGTGTGGGAACATTGCTGTGCTGGGCAGGTTCCCAGCAGGGACTGGGATGAGCTGCAGCAGTCCTGTGGCAGCAGAGGTGCCTCCACTTGGGAAACTCCTGTTAGAGGGCAACAGCGCTCCCTCCTCACACCACCCTTGCAGGGCAGCAGCCCCAGCCCCAGGATTCGGGTACCCCGTCACCATCCCCCAGCGACTGCACCTTGCCGTTTGTGGCTCGCGTGGCTGGAGCACACTGGTGTGATAACAGCCTTGACACACAGTCCAGCACTGATAACCCACCAGGGGCCCGATACCAACACCCTGTGGTCACCCCTTTGATAAACCACAGAAGATGGTGGGCTGCAGAAAGGTAATACTGGAACAAATCCTGACATGGCAAACACAAATGGCATTTCATGTGAGGTCTAGCCATGCTGGGGCTCTGGCACATGGAATCCCACGCAAATCTCACGCTCCGTCCCACAGACATGGAGGTGCTTTCTCAGAAGCAGCCCTTGCAGCCGTACCTCCCCCCAAGTTCCCTTCACTTGTGCTGTGTGCCTGCTGACACGCAGAATATTTCCTGCCATTCATCAGCTGCTAGAGGCTCTACCTTGCTCGGGGGTCCCACAGGGACGCACGAGGGAGGGGACGCACGCCACAGGGCACCACACCACGCTCAGCGTGTGTCCATCTTCATGGGCTCAGAGGCACGAAGCGCTGGTGCCAGCTGAGACAGGGGTCCGAGCTGGTGTCTCTGCACAGAGCACAGGGTGGTTTTACACCATCCGCAGTTGCAGCTTCTCCTGCCAGGAGATCACACGACAAAGTCCCAGGAACTGCAGACACCAAGCAAGTATTGGGGTCCCCAGGGGTACAGGACAGG